ATTTTTCCCTGTCTGGCACACATCTTGATAAGACATAAATCTTTTTAAAGCAAACATGTCCCAAATATATACAGTATTTTCTTCCTACAGGGTTTTAAGTTAAGTAATTATGATGAGTAATACATTAGCATTTACCAACATAGCACATTTGTTTCAAACTATTTAAAGTGGTAGATTAATCCACATTTGGTTCTGTAGGGAATATTTGGACTAGGAGGACTAGGATCAGGTCTATAGAGGTAGGTCTATAGTGTATATGTTTATGATTTTGAATGACCATGTCAAGCAGAATAACAGTGTGATACATACAGATAGTATTTGTTAATTAGGTATATTCAGTGGTTTGGATTACATTTTTTAAGCGTGAACACATAAAACCACTACAACTACCTTTGAAACAAAGCAATCTTACAGTACATTACAAACGGGAATACTAAATGTGTGATCATCAATTTAACATGAGTCATTCTACCAGCCCATCTGTGCAGGTATGGTAATGTTTTTCCGTGAACATGCAAGCTGTGGGATTTCACCCTATGGCTAACAGTGTGTGTGTTAGCAGTCAACCTGAACACATTGTGCCTCTGAGCTTCCTCAATGGATGATAAGCACGATGCAACTCGTTTGGATAAATGCTAATTTTGCATTAAACAACACAAAGAAAACAATTAGTGCAGTTTAGCAAAGATATTATTTTGATGATTCTGAAGCAATGTAGTTTGGTGGTAGATTTTTGCTTCCAGTTCATGAGAAAGCTTCCCTGATGCAATGACCCATGCATTAAGTGAATTAACATAGCTGAAGTGTAGTCAGCGCTCACACTGCTGTGAATAACAAATGCTCGTAACCAAACCTTGACAAGCATGCACTGATTGGTGGTGTTTTATGTATACTATCATTATTTCTGAAAATTAATAATTCATGTGCCATTTCCACCACTGTGACTTTGACAATTACTGGTAAGGACAGTGCTGTAGATGCACCGCTGATGGAGTTTCACTATTAAACTCATATAATGTACATGGCTCTGGAGCCATGTGTCTCAACAATAGACAGTTTAACGGAGCACAGTGAGCCAGCGCTGCAAAATACCCAAAACTTCATCAAGTGGTTTTACATGGTGGGCTAGTAAAAAAAACACATAATAATAATGTGATATATATATATATATTTTTATGTTTTTTCCACTTCAGTCGCTTAATTTACACAATTGGCTACACACAAGAAAGTAGGTGAGTCATTGCTTCAGCTAAACCAGCAGGCATTTCTTTCATTTTTCATGTTTAGCCAAAATATAAACAAGTTCCGGCTTACAAGAGTCTGTAGCCATGCTTGTGCTTTGAGGTTTAAGCTCAAAATGATAATACTAGTAAGCAGTCCATACTTTTCTTACTTGCACATTACTATTTTCTAATTCTGGTCATAAACCAAGGTATTGGACCATCAGAATATTTGATTCAGAAGAGGAATTGAATGTGTGTACCAACCTCACTAGTAGTCCCTCCAGTTGTTGTAGAACATTGTCCTGAGGTGAAGTACACTGGGAGATTGTCCTGAAAAATTGAAAGTAGAAACAATTAAGAAAATCACATGAAAAAAACAAACAATCAACATGATTTTGAAAAACATATGGTGTATATGCAGAAGGACACAGATGGTGGTTATGCATTGCAACCTTTCTACGTGGAGATGCACTATGGAGCTTTGTGACATAATGGAACAGGGTGTTCCAAATGGTATGAGATTGCTTGGCAACCGCTTAGGCTCTTTCCTGGGGGGCAGGAAAACCAGGCTGGTGATTTGTTTCTGTATCCAAGAAAGAGACACATCCTCCATCCCTGACACAAGGTTTTTGAAATGATACAATACATCTTTGACTTTGGTTTGTACCACTACTGAGTAGAGTATAAAAAAAAGCTAGATATTACTGGATGTTTACTGTAAACACATCTACTGTCTCCACATCTTCTTGGCTCTCACTTTTTGCCGGAGGCTGATTAATTATTCTCTGTGTGATGGATGTTTGGGCCCTGAGTGATTTTGGCTCCTCTGTGGCCCTCCTGTTCTCTAGATCACCTCAAGCTAAATGAGATGTGGTGGGGATGGAATAAAGGGTCAAAGCCCTCAGTGTCTCGCCATGCTTCCCTCCTTTTTACAATTCCTTCCTTTATCCCCAAATCCCCCACAGCGCAGACAATCCAGAGCTGGGCCACAAGGAACAAAGTGTTCCCCTGGATGATATCTGTCCTAGAACCATCTCCTGGTTTGGCACAGGGATCTAGTAAATGTCAAAATGATTTAGTGAATATTTAACTTTCTATTACCCGAGTACTACTGTGTTTTAACAGGTTTACAACTTCTCTTGTTTCTCACTTCTACTACTCCTTTCACTCTGTACCTCTCAGACCCTTTCTCTCCCTATCCAAGCAGTTTCTGCTGAAAGAGAGTGAATTGCAACTCTGCTACATAGGCTAGTACAGTTGTCATTTGTTGTTTTGCTCTCATCATTTCAGGTTCACTGTCCCTGAGATGCAGGCGAGATCAAATATAGGCTCAGGAGGCAGTGTGCTAGTTTGCAGTTGTTAGGCATGTTGGCTGCTCAGTAAACAGTCCGAGCAGCCTGCAGTGATGATAGCGGTTTGTCAGGGCCAAGACGGAGGTAGCTGCCCACATAAATCCTTTCCTTAACAGTTCAAAGGCTGTTTGCTTTGAGGGCTCTGCAACTACAGTGAGCAGCCTCTGTGTGATGCATTGTTCGAATATGTAAATGAAGGCATGACGGCCGTTACGTTGAGATTCAATGCCTGCACATGCGCACACTACTTTTGTTATAAAGCAGAAAGTCCAGTTTTCTTGATTTGCGACGAAATGAAGCAATAAAACAAATGCCCACCATTTATGTCACATAGATTGTGTAAATATGTAAATGCAAAGTACTCTGTGGTTTCCCAAAGTTTGGAAATGCATTTCAAAGCAACAAAAAACTAAATCCAGACAAATGATGTTTTTTTTAATCCATGTTTTTAAGAATTTGCAGCCAAGCAGCACTCACTTCTTTTATTGGTGACTGCAGCTTTATGGGCTTCAGCTAATGAAGCCATATGCTGTAACATGAGAAATGTAGAAGAGGCTGAAACACAAGCAGACAAAGACATGTCAGATCAAATGGATGATTCTGTGCATCTTATTTTGAAATCATATAATACAAGCTACCAATAAACAGCAATTATTGCAAATAATTTTAAATAATACATGATTATACGCTTTTTCTATTGCAAAGAAAACACATTTGTTGTCAATGAACATTTTACTGATACTTTCATTATTAAAATATTTGTGAATTGCTTAATTTATAAATTAACAACATGTTGCATTTCCTATTAAAATCCACCTCCGGTCCTGTCAGAGACCAGATGTCAGCCAGAGACGCAGAGGAAAGACCTTAAGAAAGGTGTTAATCTCCTGCATATCAGATGAAGGTCAGGTCACATTTTATGAGCAGTTAATGCAGAGACACCGATAAGTCCACAGGGTCCTTTTCTGAACCCTGTACAAGGATGTAAAATTCTGATTAGTATTTTTAAGGGTTTTGACGTCAGGTCCAGGAAGAAGATTATTTAATATTAAAAGCACCAAAACATGTGACTACCTGCTTACCCCACTACCACAACCAAAAACAGACCAAATATAACTACCTAAATACTTAATTTCCATGATGTAGCAAATGTAAGAATAAAGACCTGGGGAAATAAAGATATCTTAGTTTTTACAGCTGAAATGTAAATATTCTTTGGAGAAACATTATGCTATTCATTTCCAGGTATGTGTGCTGCAGATCTGTGATATAACACTGTAGTAAAAGCAATGAGATCGTCTGATTTCTTTGTCTTTGCTATTGTACATGATCATATTTCCGACCTTGACTTGCATGTCATGTAATATTCATTGTGTGTTTTTAATCCCCTGCTCCTTCTCTTTGCAGGTACAAGAATATTATCCAGCTGTGGACTGACTGTCCTCCTCCTGGCGTGCGGTTTGGTGAGGGATGCCTTGTTATAATTTGAAGAACTGACATGATTTGCTCCCAGATCTCGCTCTCTCTCTATCCCTCTCCCTTTCTCTTTCTCTCTCTGTTTGCTCCCAAAGTGAACGAGAAAAAATTGCCTGTTTTACTCCCCCCCCCCCCCCCCCACCATGCGGACAGCACAGTTGAATCCTCATTTCCCAGCCACCACTGCTCTTGCACCCAGCACATTGTTATTAGCCAGTGTAAACACCAGTCACCTTTAAACCAGTTGGATTACCTTTTTGTACAGACGTCGACCCGACACCATCTGAGGTGCAGCGCTCTGGTTTCAAAACGGACTCTGTATCATACTGGATACCTCTCAATGGAAGAATGACTCTGTTATGGTTTCGATGTTCCAGTTTATGTGTTCATTGCTCAAAAGTGAACAAGAAAAAAGGAGAATATATATCTGTGTAATATATACGATTCCGGATATATATCTGTTTTATTTGTAACACCTAGAATTACTGTATGTGCTGTATACGTAGCTGACACTCACCATGATAGGCCATGGAACTCCGTTGTGAAAAGCCACTCCGGCCCTTTCAAAGAAACAAAATAAATTCAAATACATATTAATTCAGACTGTTAACATCAACCATCAGGTTAAAACAGGTTAAATTCCTATATTTGTTTCTTTTTTCAGCTGTGTTGACCATCCAGATGATCTAATGTGCATAATTAAACATCCTGTTGGTGACAGATGTGCATGCTTTGTGGTCGGAAGGCTTAAAAGAGGAGGAGCATATGTTATTAGAACTACAGAAGTCAACGTTAAAGTATTTTGAATTCATTTTCATTTTAATGTGCTACCTTTGATGTGAAAACGTGTCATTCTACTTTGTATTGCATCCTCAGTAGGAATAAAAAGGATGTCACGATTTATGAGTCATTTAAAATCCTGATATGTGACCATTGGACGATTCATTTGAATTGACCTGCACCATTTTTAAAAGGCATGCTTGCGGTTGCTGCGCACATCCATATTATGACAGAGGATGGATGCCTTTTTCCCCACTTTGGATCATAAGTAGAGCTAGTTTCTGTTTTAGCAAACACACAAACACACAAATTCCCGCATTTGCAGGCAGATGTTTTAAGTGGCTGGATGTTGACATGAGATGCAGTGCAACACACACACAACAGACCCATGTTTGGGAGAAATAAGTTAGTCCGATGATATTATTTCCTTTTCGACCTCACAGTAATATATTTTTTAACTTTATTTTCCAGATGAGATATGATAGAGATTTTTATCCACTCAGAGCATTTATAAGCAAAACGCTTTGACAATCTGACTCAAACACAGGCAGATGTGTTGTTTGGTTTCATAGTGCAACAAGTCCTATATTCAGATTCTTACCATGGTACAGTGTAACATCCAGGATTGAACCTCTTTTGTTGTTAACTTTTGAGCTGAAAAAGAAAATTGTACACCATCCTTTAGAAATGCAGACGATTCAAACTGAAATGTTTATAAATAATAGAATAGTGGATTTATGTCTCCAGATTCATGCTGTAAGTGAATGTTATCCACCATGAGTGTAAGCTGCCAGAGTGCAGCAGTTGCCCCGCAATGAGATCAATATTTTATTTTGGTCGATGTTGTCCCCTAAGCACACACTATTCTTTGCTCAGTTGATGCCCGAAACCTCCAGCTGACGTTAAGGTGTTCAAACATGAAGCATGATTATCTAGTTCCTCATGTGTTGTATGGTATAATCTAACATTCATACATAACATACAGGTGTAATTGCCAATAATTACTGTGCTGTGTGCTCTCCGAAAGCAAAATACTCACCTCACTTTGTGCTTTTATTCCGCTTTGCAGACAAAGCAAAAATGTATAGTTGTACTGTAATTCCCAAAGAACTGTGGTGGGAAACTTGTTGATTCAGCATCGGGAGTTCAAAGGCTGACAGAGCGCGTCATGCTTTGGGATCAGACCACAGACGTCTCCCGATCAGCAGCCTTCAGCCTCAGTACAAGACGTGTGAGCAATAGCGGGCAACCCTGTCTAATCCCCCCGAGCTCCAAATAGCTTCAGGGTTTATTTGGACAGTTAATCTTGCATTACTTTCATATATATGCCACTCTGCTGTGACTGGAAATAGATTGCTACATTTTGAAATGAGACATGTTGTGTAATATGATTCAGAATGTTTAAGTTTGCAGGGATGAAAAAAATAAAAAGGTAGAGCTTATTTTGAGGTACTGGGACGGGATTTGGATGCTGACTCTGTTGGAAATGTGCCTGAGCACTTTGGAGAGAATGTGCACAGTCTGAGTGGACATGTTGACTTTGTCCAGCCCTCATGTAAAAAGTAACAGATCTGTACAACTTGTAAATGAATTAATCAGCATGTTAAGATTTTTTTTTTTTTAAAGAAGTCAATTTAAAAAGGCAGAGGCCAGTGATGTTCTGTACTCGTAACAATGGTGTCATGTACTCATATTGAAGTGTTAACAAGTCCAAAGTGGGTCTTCATCTCTTCAAAATGAACTTGGGTAAAATGTATTTGAGAAAAAAAAAAAATCTATATATATAAGAAATATCTCCTTTATAAAGCTTTCATCCTAATCTAGAGGACTCCTTCTCTGTGGGTCTCCGCAACATATGGAATAACAATGAGTGAAAGATTGGAGTGATGATTGATTTGATATTGTGATCAGAGAGAAGCAAAATGATGCTTTGTTTAAAAAAAAAAAGAAAAGAAGTTTGGGTATCGATGGAGGCAGAGGTGCTCACGGGCAACGATGCCTCTGTTACCAAAGACGAGAACAGTTCACGACGATGGCAAAAGCAGCAGCTCCTTCATCCAGGGATGTTATTTCAGAAACATCACACAACCATTTTCTGTTCTGTTTTATATGCCGCGCTCCTCATCCACTCTAGATGTATTTGTTTCTTCTAATGTGTTTCATTTCAATGCGGTCCTGTCTGTTTGTTGAGCTGTCGAAAATCCTGATGAATTATAATTCTTTTCTTCTTTGGTATTGTGTGAGGCTTCTGTACTGGAACATTGCAACAGTTTGTATTATAATGACAATATCAGAATAATATTTAAATAAATCATTTTCACAGATGAAATTCAAACAATAAAGGGTTCCATCTGTTTGGTTGGTAACATACTGAGCTCCGTAGCGAGTGAAGCAGGGAGTGCTGACGGTGCCAAATGCCGGCCCAGTTTCCAACTCGGAGGAAAGTTACTTTTGTGTGAGCTTAATCACTTTATATTTGATAGCTCTGCCAATCACAATTCAAATCAGTGTGCCCTTCATTTATACAACCACCCAAAGGAAATTACAGTGAGATTAAACTAGAAATACATTTCCTGAACCAAACCAACCTAACTTAATTTATTTTCATCCAATCACATTAAAAAAATATATAAAACAAGCACATAAATACAAACAAATACCCACAGACACGAGCACGCACCATAAAGGAATGAGTGAACAGAAAAAAAAATTGATTGTGAAGGAAAAACAAAAAAAGGGACACCACCTTCTTTCTGGATTCAGGCCACCGACCTCCACGGAGCAACAGAAGTAATAACCAAGTCTCCACAGATGTCCCCACGCTCCACGGAGTCGAGCAGATGACAGCACACAAAGTCCAGGCACGTCAGAGGCTGAGCACGGAAGGACAGACCCTGAACTTAACGAGAGCTTTAAAACACATCAGCAATAGCTTTTAAAACATAATGCTATACAGTTCAATCTGTACAGGTTGACATAATGACCATGCATTTCAAAATGTAGCTATTTGTTGTATTGTATGCTTGTGCTACATTTTAAATGCCATGAGGCTGACTGGGTCCTTACAGAAGAACACATTAGATATTTCATAACTGTAAATGTCATCATAATGCCATTACGCACAGTTATTCAGTATGCAATACACACTCATTACAAATCACATATTTGTAGTGTGCACATTTGCTGTGGTATTAATGCAATAATACTGAGTGGGCCCCCATAGACTTTAATGCATAACATAATTCAAGTAACTTAAAATGTCATCATGATGAAATCTTTTACAGTTGATCACTGTGCGATACAAAGCATGGATGTCTATGGAGATTATATTACAAAAACTAGTTATAATCTTTCTTCCAAATGTCTGCACATGATTCGAAATAGCTTGGCGCTACATAAACATGTATCAATATAAAGACTGTGGTGGTTTTAAACCACAGATCAACATGGAAAAGGGGCACTGAGGTACCCAGGACCAAATAACCACACTGTACTTTACACTTTGATAGTTTCCGGGACAAATTGAAATCCAGTCCACTCACAAATGGTTCTCGTGATGTGTAAGTTGAGGGGAAAAAGAGCAGCAGTTTGCAGGCGATACTGCAAATTGGTCTTGCTGCAGATCTCTTGCTCTTGGCAGTCAGCCTCCATCAGCGTAGACCTCAGGAACAGGAAACTACCTCTCTGTGGGTAAAAATGGGCCTGTCAAATCTCATCATCCATTCATCTGTTTGAAAGACAAGATAGAGGAATGGAAAATGAGGCGAGAGAGGGGAAGAGGGGAGGGGAAGAAAAGATCCTCTTTGGAGCCGAGGAGTGAATTTGGCAAAGGCAGCTCAACTAATCAGGTTTACTTAATCAGTGAATTCAGAATGCAAAGCAGGCACAGAGGCAAAAGAGAGCGCAGGCAGAAAAGATAGATGAGCAACAATACAAAATTAACCCTTGGTCCGTGTTTGTTAATTCAGCAGGCAATGACAGTTATTTATGTGGAGGTGAAGAGAGAGCCAACTACCAGCCTGCCTCTGGCACTCTAATCAGGGCACAGATCCTTCTGCTGCACAAAGAAGTAGGGGATGTGGATATAATGGTATGACTTCAAACTTCTTGCATATTCAACTATGTTGTTGTGGAATCTCGGATTGATGAATCTCAAGATCTGCTCGTCCGTCCTCTTCCACCTAGTAGAAAACAAAAACACAAAAACACAGTTAGCTAAGTGAAGTTTTGATTTTCACATGCTCATGAAATATACATACATGCATTGTAGCGACAGGAGCCGTGCTGAGCGAGAGAGCCGCTGTGGTTCCAGCCTTAAAGCACCCCACTGGTAACGCTGCATGTGTACGGCAATGTGTTCTCAACTGCTTCCTCGCGCCCCAAGGATGACATTGTGTATCAGATGAAATGGGGGAAGATCTAACCGTAACAGCACTGCGGGAATTCGGTGGCCCAAAGGTTAGAGAAGTGGATTTGACTGGAAGTATCTGGGCCAGAAAAACAGGCAAGCAAGACACGCTACAGCACAACTCTGCGAAAAAGCATCGGATTGATCCACCTCAATGTCTGAAGCCTCACGGATGGCTTTTTGTACTGATACGCTTATTCAGGTTGCTTTCCATGTAATGATCTTCCATATTTCCTTGAAATTGTGAACAGCAAATGCCATCACAATCAGCTGTTTAAATATATATATATATATTCATTGCTTGTCTGTGCCATTAGCAGATAGCAGCTCCCCCGTAGTTACATGACCTTATTGCTGGATGGTAATGTAGTTAAACATATAGCACGGTGGCTTGTCACCTCACACCAAGATGATTTCTGGTTGAATTCCCCATGGGACATGTCCTCCTTTTATCCCTGAGTACTATGGCTTCCTCCTACGGTCAAGACATGCAGGGTGGGGTTAGGAGAACTGGAGTGAATGTGAGTTTTAGAGGGTGTTCCCCGCCTTTTGCCCAATGTCAGCCAGGATTGGCTCCAGCTCCCCCCATGCTCCACAAGAGGATTAGCACTATAGATAATGATGCCTGATGTAAACAGTGTCAACAGGAATAATGAAGCTCTTCTAAGCAGATTCTGACAAAGCCTTTTTTTAAAGATCAGGTAGTGCAGCAGCACCAATCTTTAAACCATTATCATGTCACTTGTCACCAATATTGGCCAAATTACTACCGGCTAATTAACAAACAGTTAACCTGGCATTTAAGGCCCCAAGGAAATCAGGCTCCTGCTTGGTCAGTGCCGCCATGTGAATCTCCTTCCTACCTACAAGGTTTTATAGAACAATGTCGCCCTGCTCCTGCCTTTCCCTGTGGAAGTCAGCAGTCATTATTCACATGGTCACAAAAACCCCTTGTCACATGTTGTTGTAAAAATCTGAACAAACTAATGAAGCTGTCGTTTTCCACAAATCAGTGAGGTTCATCTCCCGGGGAAGCGTAAATATCTGTGACTAACTAACTAACATTTATGACTAATTCTCAGATAATGGTTCTGTTCATCTGACAGCAGTGATGCATGTTGGGAGAATCAACACAAACAGGAACAAACACCAAATCTTAGCACATATGGATGAAACTGGGGAGCATCAGCAACATATAGTGTCACAGTATACCGGACCATGCAGTACACCTACTGTGCTACTCAGCTAGAAGACGATGAATGAATGATGAGTAGTTGATGCCAATCAACTACTACACGTACGCCGTGTTCCCTTCATAAATATTCAGCCACAATTTTTTATTTACATTTTAGAGAAGATTCTTAGTGATGGTTAGGGGAAAATGTTAAACTGACTGTTATAAATAAAATGAGATAGATAGCTCCGGGCCAAGTGTGCTTCAGATAAATGGGGTCAGCCACCTGGCATGAATGTGTTTATGTGGCATTTTTCCGCTTTAAGATATAGGAGTAAGAACAAACCCAATTTCTTCCAAACGAGTTGGTTAAATATTATAGATGTCCTGTCCTCAGCCAAGGCTAAAACAGATGTACCATTTGGAATCATTTGGATAAAACCCAGAGGTGAGCACAAATCTTCCACATGCTTTCACAAATGCTGACGGGTACCTCTGACTTAAGAGGATGAAGGGTCCTCTGACATCATCTTATTGGTGCTATTGGGATTGGGATCGTTGGCAAAGTGCTAACAAGTAATTCTGCTCAAAGACATTGTTACAAAGGCAAAGGAATTGAAGGGCATTCAACTTTACTAAAGTTTCTGTTGCTTTCCAGTGAGGTTGTGTGTTTGTGTGTGTGTGTGTGTCTGAGAGAGAGAGAGTGTGTCCATGAATGGTCCTGCATTATTTATTTGCACTCATTAAAAGTAATCAATTGAAACTGGCATTGATGTAGGGGTCTTTATTGAGCTTTCAGGAATCCGTCACTGTAATGTACCGTGTGACTTTCTCACCCTGCTTGATTGTTTCGTCCCACAAAATGCCCAAAGGAATGGGAATGTGTTTGTGTGGACCCATCAATGCTAAGCATGCCTCAATACTGTGGGGTTTACGAACCCCAGAAGCATTTGCAAGAAAATCAAATTGGCTTATCCGCCAAGGATATATTGCGACGAGATTAGGATGGGTGTTTATGACTTACGAATGCGAGGACAGCGGCCATGTCTCCTCAAAGTGTGTGAATAAAAGCTGTGAGTTTAACCCAACAGGAGAGACGGATGAGGCAGTAAGGAGGCAGTTAGGGGAATGTGGTGCACTGCTATAAGTGAGTGGGTGTGTTGATTAAAAAAGAAAGCCCAAGAGTATTGAGTGTTGAATGTGTGTTGACAGAATGTGAAGCCTGCCTCATTAAACTATATAACCAGGGAGAGGCATGTAATGTGTGTGTGTGTGTGTGTGTGTGTGTGTGTGTGTGTGTGTCGGGGTGTACAGAACATTATTGCATCTTTTTATGCAGCATGCAAATCAAAGTGCCACACAATATGGAGGGCCCTTCAAGCTAAATCCTGCTTTCTCCTACATGTCCTCATGTTACCACAGTGGCTTGAGTGAAGGGAGCAAACTGCATCCACAGAAGGATATGAGAGTGGCACCCTCCTGTCAGAGCAATTCAAGGTTGTTGTTGTGCATTCCAGATACAGATAACAAACCAATGACATGAATTTAAAAGCACGAGACAGGTGCCTTACCTTTGCACTGCCTATAGTGACCCTGAATCCTCCATTAAACTGACACGGCTGCAACTTTCAATGGCATGCATTAAAAGTGACAAGTGTTAACACACATCTGTGTCAGCAGAGATTTCTCAATTAAAGACATACATACTCATGTCATTTTGGAAAAAAAAAAAC